CTGTTTTTTTTTAGTATTATTTTATGATACGTAAGTTAAATTGAAACTATTTTTTGGCTTTCCACTGACAATAACAGAACCAAAAACAACAACAACTGACTCATAGCTCACAACTAACTTTCCTGTTTTTCAAAACTGGATTTGAGATGAAAATCAAATGACCAAAAGATACATGGACCCTCTTCCCTAAGACATAAACGACATGCTCTCATAATACTCAAGAAAGAGCGAAGAGCGAAAGTCTCTCTCTCTCTCTCTCTCTCTCTCTGTGAAATAAATAGCTGCCAAACTGGTCAGTAAAAACACAGGTCAGATGCTGCAGGCACATCAGTGACTTTTAAAAACGGTGCAACAAAACACCTGTCTGTCTGTCTGTCTGCCTGTCTGCGCTCCATCCAGATGGACCAACTTCACACTACAAACCCTGCATCACAAATCCAGTTTTCCCCTCCACAGCTCCGATACGGGATGCTGGCTAGGCTGACACTGACAAGCTAATATGGAAACCTAGCTAGCTTTAGCTTACACTGCCACAAACAACACGCACCGCCTGTCTGTCTGTCTGCGCTTCATTCGAACGGTCCGACTTCACACCACAAACCCACATGAGCCTCAAAAACCCAGTTTACTCCCACTGATTCAGTACAGTGCGGTAGCTATGCTAACACTGACAAACTAATTTGGTGCTAGCATTAGCCGCTAACGGAAGCGTAGCTCCAGCTTACACTGCCACAATCAACACGCACTAACGTTACCTGTCTGTGCTCAATTCAAACGGTCTGACTTCACACTACAAACCCACCTGAGCCTCAAAAACCCACTTTACCTCCACTGATTCAGTACAGGGTGGTGGCTATGCTAGCTAACACTGCCGGGCTAATTTTGGCACTTGCATTAGCTGCAAACAGAAACCCAGCTTCAGGTTAGTCGATCTAAACTTATTAGCTCGACTAACCTTTAGTAAAGCACACATTTCTGTACAACCCAAATAAATTAGAATTACTGAATACTTACCCAGTGTGTGTGTCTGTGTGTGTGTGTTTGTGTGTCTGTGTGTCAGTGTGTCTGTCTCCATCGCTCTCGGTTCAAATCTTCAGTCTCGTCCGCGGTTTTTCACACGGCGCCCCGCCCTTCTCCTCCTCCTCACCCAATCACCTGCAACTATTGTGACTTTTGAATTGAGTGACCAATCAGTCAAAACATGCCACTTTGTCGCTCTGTAGTGCTGTCACCGAAATTCGTGTCCTGTGGTTGTGCGTGTGTCATGCAGCAGGAAAATACATTAGATAAATTTATTAAAGAGCAGTAACATCACAGTTTATTGGTATGACATATTTTAACCATATTTATGTTTGTATAAATATATTTAAGTTTTTGAACAGCAGTATGTGTTTGAAGTTGGTATGAGACATTTTGACAGACTGATTTTGTTTACCCAACACCACAACTGACATCCCACAAAATACCAAGGTCTAAAGTTGTCTGTATTCCACATTAGAAGGACTTTAGCACTGTGACGTTTAGCAGATGTTAGGTTTTGGTTAGTTAACACTGTGACTTCCCAGGTAGCAAAATTTATCTGGCCCACTTTTGGGCTTCATTTTTGGTTTTGTTTTGGCCCAGTTCTGGCTGGATCCTCGCCCAGATCTGGTCCATATACTGTAAAACAAGAAGAACTAATTGATGTGGCCCAGATGAGGCAACACATTATAAAATTAGTACAGCTAATAGATGTAGCCCAACTCTAGGCCATATACTGTAAAGTGAGTAGAACTAATAAATGTGGCCCAGATCTGGCCCACATACTGTAAAGTGAGTAGAACTAAGGGTTCTGGTCTAGCTCTCGTCCATATACTGTAGTGTATATATAAAGGTGTGGGCCAGATTTGGCTTATATATGGCACACAGTTATAGCTGAGTACCCACTTTAGTCCCCAGCCAGGTGTGGCCCTGCAGGATGCCACATTCATTTATTGCAGATATTGCAAAATATTAGTAATATCTGTGATTAGTATTAGTAATATTTCTTCTTAATAATCAATAGGTGTCAAAAACCATTTTAGAATGAAAACTACATGTTGATTCTGGTTAAATAAATAAAAACAGTAAATGAATGAAGGAACAAAGCCTTCACCTTTGTGACAGGTCGTTCTTGAGCAAAGTGGAGAGGCCACTGAAATACAGGCTAAATCTGACATCTACCTTGAAGCACTGTTCAAATGGGTTTAGAATGTAATTTCACAGACATTTTATTTTAAATCAGAAATGGCAAACGTCTAAAAAAATCATACTTAAGTGGTCTGTGGACTAAAAAAACGTTTGTGTATGTCCCTGAAGTACAGGTATCAACCCATTGAATGTGCCTTCATAAAATACATGCATACATGAGATCAAGCCAACTGTGTGTGAGACACTGTTTCATGGTTTAATTTGATAAAAAGCTATGTTTTCTGATTCTGTCTGCAATAATTCATATGATTACTGGAGGATTTTTCCCACAGTAAACAAATACAAAGCTGGATAAATCAAAATCTGTCCGCCTCCTGATATCTAAGAAAAGAGGAACTTACTTCTTTAACTGATTTCCAGATAACATAGTTTTTGTGTCAAACTGTACAACAAATCCATTTACCTGACAACCTGGAATAACACCACAATCAGTCACAGAGCTCCAATAACAGCCTGTCTGGAATAGATTGGTTTACTTTAGAAGCTGAATAATGAGGCAAGAACTCCACAACTGTAAGATCTGGAACAACAAGAAAGCTTTTGTTCTAACAAACATTAAGGAACCCATAATCAAAATTAAGCTACTTACAGGTCGAACTAATGTAAAGCACTCCTGGCAGTGAACTCTCATATGAACCAAGCTAATGTGCTAACTTTGAGCTAATGTCCTAACCAGAAAACCAAAGTGCTGTACCATTATGGCATAACACTCAAAAAGCACAGGCTACTCCTTTTAAATGCTCAGAGTAGTTAGCTAACGTTAGCTAAGGAATAAGTTAACATTAGCCATGATGACTTGGCAATTAAGGGTAATGTAGCTACACCTTGTGCTGATAGCCATTACATTAACCTAGCTACCCTGTGCTTTCAAGTGTTGTGCTAAAATGGTACTGTTAGAAAGTTAGTTATAACTTTTCATTTTCCATACTGGAACCTTATGATTTAAAATTATTCAATTATTACTCTTCCATTTGCCTTCTCTTCAAACCTAGCTTCCAGCTTGTCCATGTGAAAATGGTGAACTTGTGCTGGAAAATTCATTAAAATAGGGTCTTAACCTTCAAAAGGTGAACTCTGGTTGCACTTATGACATGTCAGACATGGGCCAAAAGTACTGAGGTGTAAATCAACTGAGCACAAATCTGCTGCAACTTAATTGTGCTGTGGCCCTCTTCCTTCATCCACATTGATCGGCCATAACATTCACGCTAGAATTGGCCCTTAAACGTAAATATGGCTCAAAACCATACACAGCTGTCCAGCGTTTGGCAAATATCTATCTGGAAGTCAATGAACACTCACGGAAGTAAGCCAGAATCAGCCCAGAACCGTCTGCTGTCTGAGTTAGAGCTAACAACATGCCATAGTCTATTGATGTTAGAATTTTGTTTTGTGAAGGTTAAAACTGACACCATGGCCTAAAACCAACTTTGGCATAAGACGTGTGGAAGATGTTGGATTTTGGTTACCTGACACCACAATTTTAAACCAACAAAATATCAACGTCTAATGATGTTAGAATATCACGTCAAATTAACATTATGACGTTAAATAGACGTTGAGTTTTGGTTACCATACCTCATGACTACATGTCAGTATTCTGCGTCAATATGATGTTGACTATGACGTTTGTAAGATGTTGGATTTTGGTTACCTGACAGCACAATTTTGAACCAACAAAATATCAATTGCTAAAGATTAGAATAAATGTTAGAATATCACGTAGCATTGACGTTCCGATTAAGATGTTAAATAGACATTGGGTTTTAGTCATGATACAGATACATCTCAATAATCTACGTCAGTATGATGTTGGCATGTGATGTTTGGAAGATGTTCAGTTTTGGTTACTGACACTTTGGCTCAAAAGTGTGGTGTGGTGAGGTAACCAAAAAAATATCAATGTGTAACGATGTTAGAATGTCACATTGAATTTTCTTTAAATGTATGACTTTGGAACACTATTCCTATTTATATTAAAAGAATCCTTAATGTTTACGAATATCTGAAATAAACTGCATCCAACCCATCCAATTCCTAACTGGATAGTTTACAAACACCTTTCAAAAGGCTGGGGCGGCGTAATTTCCCCCTCGCTTCAGACCCACCACGCATACCCACAATCATGCTTGATTTTGTTTTTAATGCAGAAAAAAAAACATCCAACATTATCCCAAACCTCTGGTTTCCCTAGACCAATTTCCATCCACACCCCTATCACCACATTAACACTAATACATACAAAATGAGCATTCAACATACACCTCGGCTAAAAGTTTGTTTCGTTTCATCATTTCTTTGTATAAACAAAGTTCACAATGTCCAATCCATCATCAGCAAAGCACGGGGCAGCAGAGAGCGAGAGAGTCTGGGAGATACAGCGTCTCCCCTTTAAACCCAGTAGCTCACCGACCGTTTTCAACGTGAAGCAATAGAATTCCTTGAAACGAGAAGCTCCGTCGAACCTCCGATGATCCGCCTCAGCTCCAACAGTCCATACTTCCAGAAGCAAAAAACAGTAGAAAAAAAAACATGTAGAACCTCAGTTGTTGTTAATGTTAATAAATGCATTACTTAATGAGTCAACACTTCATATGAAAACAACACTAATGCAGTTGTTACATGTTTGCTTAACACTAGGTAACCATTGTTAATGCATTACTTCATGTCTTGTACATGTTAACTAATGCATTACTTCATGTTAGTTAGTCAACAGTTAATGTGAAATGTTACCAATGTTTTTTTTTCTTTTTTATATATTTTGACTGCAGTGATGATACGGGTTCAGAGGCTGCTGCGAAAAATGACAAGCATCAAAAGAACACTGAACATCTGAAGAACATCTTTAATGTAAGACTCAAAGTATATCTAGTAATGCTTCCTATGAATGTTTTTCATAAGTCTATCATCATGAGCACTGCATGAGATCTTACCTAAGCATTTGTGAATGTTTCTGCTGACATCAAAACTAACTAAAAACTAAACTAAAAAAACTGACAACTAAAAACATAGTGTTTCACTCTAAAGTGGTGCACTGCTATGTATTTCTTATACAGTTTACCAGTACAAAAGCTTGAATTATAAATAAAAATAAAAGAATAAGAAACAAGAGATCTTGTGGATCCTGAAATAGGAAAGTAGCAAATAAAATAATAGGAGGAGAAAGTTGAGGAGACACACATTTTTTTTTTAAAAGGTTAAAAGTGGAAGAACTTAAAACTTAAAGACTGTACAGTCTAGGAATTTGCCCATCAACAACTTAAATTAAAAGCTAAAAGAAAACACATGAAAATGCATAAAAACAGAAAAAGTCCAAACCCAAGAAATATACCCATCCCAGACTTGCACAGTCCTTTTGTCATTTCAGTAACAGCAGTCATAAACTGAAGCACCTGTGCAGCTCAGCTTGCCAACTTCTAGGCCGCATTGCAATTTTCTGAGGGAAACACTGAAACAAGCCATCAGTATCTACATACTTTTAAGTTCCAAAACCTCATCCTAATGTGCAGTTTAATACAACCAGGTGAATCTGATGATAAGTCACGGATAAAGTTTTAGCAGCATGTAACCAAAAACAGGTACAGTGTTGAACAGAACAAATACAGTTCTGGTTTGTGCAGACAGTCTGCAGCACTTTCACAGTTCTAAATCACCCTGCACAGCTCTGATTACACCATCATACTAAAGTGAACCTGTCTGTACTCACACTTGCCTGAGCAGTGACCATCATCACCAGGATTTGCAGCAATTCATCTAGTAATACTCAGCCTGGCTCTCATCTTAACACTCCATCAGATTAGATGCTGCCTTTGGTCCACACTCACCTTTTGGCTCCTGCTGTATAAACGCTCTGATGTTGTCTACAACTTTATAGATCTTTCTCTTCATGTGAACGCTCTGTAGGTGGACACATTTCACAATCAAATTGGAATTTCTCCAATACTTACCCTGACCTCACCCAGAGTACTCTGTTCAAGGAGGGGTTCTAACAGGACACAACAGTCATGACTTCTCAGATCTGTACAACCATGTCCCTGTACCATGAGTCTTGGCTGGTAGCCAGACTCTGGCCAAATGTGGCCCAAAGAGCCATCTCCCTGCATGTGGCCTGCCATGCATTCACAAGGGGCAAAAGGCTACGTCCACAATTTACATTCTGTGGGGTCTAATAAATACATAAACTGGGACCTGCTTCTGGAAAAGAACATCCCAGCATGTAGAAATAACATTCATTCTCACAATTAGGGGGTTAGTAGAGCATTTATCTTTTGCAGTGATCACACCTATCTAGGATATCTAGGTGTCTAGGATAAGTTTAGCACAGTGAATCCAGCATAGGGGAGTTCAAGTTCATTCACAGCTTTTAAAATTCATATAGAGGATTTTTCCAACGTGTGTATTATAATTTTTTTTTCTTTTACCAACAAAAGTCCAACAAAATATGTTTGGTCAAACCTGATCTAAAATATTTAATGGCCTGGACCTCTGCATACTGTCTAGCCATTACCATCTCACATGTTTTTAGTTGAATACACTCTCCTTCACCCAGCATCAGTATTTGTAGGCTGACAGGGAACTGAAGTAGATGGAACTACAAATTTGTGAAATAGGTTCCATTCCCTAATTACTTCCTGGCTCACTTGGCCACTTATGTTCTCCAGAATCTCCAGGTTCAATTCTATTTTACAGTTAATCTCTAATGGATGATTAGATTCATTATGCTCTTTCACTGCAACACAATATGTTTCAAACCTTGCATGCACATATTCTGTGTTCATCCTCCTTTAGCAGGGATTTAACTCATTGAACGTTTCTGCTGATGTTCAGGAAGCAAAATGTTTGAAACCCTACAAGATGGCCCACTTTAGCCCCCAGAGTAACTGTTACTTTAACTGGGCTTTGTCTAGCACAGCTCCCTCAGTCATGACAAGACCCACTTAGCATTGGCTAATTCCTTAACCTCTCATAATCTCTGTACTTATTCTTTACAATTAATGTCTTTAAACATACAGTAGGCAGCCATGGTGCACTAGGAAATATTGGTATCATCATGATTCAAATTTTAATTTTTCTTTGAACACTGAACACTGTACCAACCCCCAACACTGCTTGCTCTGCCATAGTTCATAATAGGATATGGGCAGTGTGAGAGATATGGTCAGGATGGTTTATGTTAGAAAGAATAAAATGGATTTGATTATTTTAATCTAAAGAGTGAAACAGTACCAAACAGCCAGACACAGGGGCTGGCTCAATCATTTCTCACAAAACTAAAAGAACCCACTTGAAAAAAATATGAAAAGAATGTCACCCAAGAAATACACAGTCCCAGGTATACAGTTATATGGTGAGTGGCTTATTTTTCACAGGAAAAAAGGAAGCCATTGACTGTAAATATGTAGAAAAAATGTCATAAAGAAAAAAACTATCTGAAGAGGACCCACTGTGTCTGACTCCACCAGAAAGCTGTCTCTGACTGGTCGAATCCCAGCTTGGTAAAAAGTGATCCCCTGTCTTGAGACAGCAAATCTAGTGTTACATGTTAGTGTTTTAAGCAAGTTGGCCAAACAGAAAATTGTGCTTTTAAAATAAAAATGCTTTTAAAACAATGTGAAATTATTTGAATGATGTTTATAATTTTGTGTATCTCTATGTTTTGTCCCCAGAAACTTGAGAAAAAAATCTTTAAGTTCATAAAGGATGAGCTGGAAATCTATAAGAAACATCTAACAAAAAAAGTCACAAAATATTGTGGAGATGTGAAGGAAGACAAGTGGAATTTAAGACAAGGAGTTCTTAATATGACACAGTACTTCTTGAAGAAGATGGAACAGAAGGACCTCGCTGATGCGCTGCAAAGTAAGAGCTGACAATATGCGGGATTACATAAATTTACATGTAATTGTTGGAAAAAATGTAAATGAAAGTGGTAGCTTTGATTTTTTTTACTACACAATTGTTATTATTCACAAGCTACAGATAAATCTATTTTACACATTATTTACATCATCAGACAAAGTGGTTCATTCTCTAATTATATCTATTGTCTTTTTAACTGTTTAATTAGATGAACTGATTGGAATTCAACAATATGCACTCAAAGCTAAACTGCGCAAAAAGTGTCATCATGTACATGAAGGAATTGCAAAGCAAGGAGAGTCCACTGTTCTAAATAAGATCTACACTGAGTTGTACATCACTGAAGGTGGAGCTGGACAGGTCAACAAAGAACATGAAGTAAGACTCATTGAAAAAAACAATGTAACAAGAGACAAAAATCAAATGGAGCAAGAGGTACAAATCAGATGCAAGGACATGTTTAAACCATTAGCTGGACAAGACAAATCCATCAGGACTGTTCTGACCCAGGGGGTTGCAGGTATTGGAAAATCAATCTGTGTGCAGAAGTTTATTTTGGACTGGGCTGAAGGTAAAGAATATCAGGACATCCAGTTCATCTTTCCACTTCCCTTCCGAGAACTGAACCTGAAGAAAGGAAGTCAGAGTTTGATGGACATCATCTATTTCTTCTTCCCTGAAACACAAGGACTGAGATTATCAAATGAGCACAAAGTCATGTTCATCTTTGATGGACTGGATGAATGTCAACTTCCTTTGAGATTCCAGACAAATGAGACCCTGAATAACATCTCAGAAGAAGCCCCGCTGGACTCTGTGATGACGAGCCTCATCAAGGGAAATCTGCTTCCCTCTGCTCTGATCTGGATAACCACTAGACCAGCAGCTGCTGCTAAGGTCCCTGCCGAGTTTATTCACCAAATGACAGAGTTACGTGGCTTCAATGACTTACAGAAGGAGCAGTACTTCAGAAAGAGAATCAGTGATCAGGACCTGGCAGAGAAAATAATTGATCATATTAAACAATCAAGAAGCTTGTTCATCATGTGCCACATCCCTGTCTTCTGTTGGATTTCTGCCAATGTTCTTCAGAGAATTTTGCAAGAAACAAAGAATAAAGAAACACCAAAGACCCTGACGGAAATGTACACCTGCTTTCTGATCTTTCAGACCATACAGGGGAAGCTGAAGTACAATGGAAAGAATGATTCAGATACACCCTGGGACAAAGAAGGCATTATGTCAATGGGAAAGTTGGCTTTTCATCACCTAGAAGAGAGCAATTTGATCTTCTATAGAGAGGATCTAGATACATGTGGAATTGACCCCAGTAAGATGTCAGTGTACTCAGGACTGTGCACTCAGGAGACAGTCACATTTCTTGGCACGGTTTACAGCTTTGTACATCTCAGTATTCAAGAGTTCCTCGCTGCTATATTTGCATACATTTCTCTCAGAAATGACAACAAGAATGTTTTAGAACATCAGTCTGAATCACAGGAGAGCAAAAAAACAGAAGTCATTGATTTACTCAAGACTGCAGTAGACCAGGCTTTGAAGAGTGACCATGGACACCTGGACCTTTTCCTTCGCTTCCTTCTGGGTCTCTCACTGGAGTCTAATGAGCAGCTCATTCGAGGTCTGCTGACCCAGAAAGGAAGCAGGTCTGACTGCCAGAAGGACATAGTGGAGTACATCAAGTCAAAGTTTAAGGAAAATCCATCTCCAGAGAGATCAGTCAATCTCTTATACTGTCTGAATGAGTTAAATGATGATTCTCTAGTGAAAGAGATCCAGAGTTACATGAGCTCAGGACGTCTCTCTGAAGCTGAACTCTCACCTGCACAGTGGTCAGCTCTGGTCTTTGTGCTGCTGACATCCAAAGAGAAGCTGGATGTGTTTGACTTAAAGAAGTTCATCAGATCAGATGAGTGTCTTATCAGACTGCTGGCAGTGGTCAAGGAAGCCACATCAGCTCTGTAAGTAAAACCTGTTTCTCACCACAGATTATAAACACATGTTAATATCACTGTGTGTATATATATATATATATATATATATATATATATATATATATATATATATATGCAGTGATATTAACTATAAAGTGTATTTGACACAGAAAAGAAGTATTCAAATAATTTACTATGTCAAAGTGGTGTAATGCTCTAAAATCTGTACCAAAAAACAGGTGTCATTAAGACTGCCATTCTTCTGGAAAATCTTTATTAACTAGTTTGGCATAATTGTATTGTTAAAAGTGAAGTCATTTTGCTTTTAAACTGCATTACTATTTAAAAAAAAAAACTTTTGTTTGCAAAGTTGTTATCCTCAATTATCTGTACGGTGTACTCAATATGCAGAGATCTGTATTGATAAAAAAATAAGAAAACAAATAAAGGAATAGTAAATTGTATCACTAAAGAGACCTCTGAGGACCCTCATGGTGGGTGTAATTCTGTGAGGGTTATTTTTTGGCAGTAAGGTTTGTTCAGATTTCTTTGTCAAATCAAAGGATTTTTTTGAAAATCTATTATATTTGTGGAAATTACAGTGTAATTTGAAAAAAATACTTGAAAACTTGAGTTTAAGGTCAAATTTTAAAATAGGTATCCATGATAATACCTGTCAATTTCAGGTGGTGTAATCAGTTATGCTATTCATTTCCAATCATTCCAATTGTTATTGTAAAAACCCATTAAATAAGGAAATATCTTTCAAACTGTTATACTTTCATTATGATTTATGATATGTTTGAGCACTACTGTTGTCATTCTATTTTTAAACAAAATGGCTGACATTAGATATCTATGTGTTTTATTAAAAGGACAAGTTTACTGTTTTTCACCCTGACCTTATTAAAATTGCTATTTGCATTATTTATAATTGTTCATTGCAGAAATTTACTTTAGTTTTGAGAAAAGTGTTGAGAAAAGTGCTGGTCAGTGCATCATTTCTTAATATTTTTGATCAAGAACTGATGCGGCTATGATATTTTTAATGAAGATGATCCAGATGTTAGGAGACGTTAGAACAAAATCTTTTCTGATATGATTTTTGGATTCATGATATTTGGAAAGATTGTAGGATAAAAGGATTTTGAGATAACTAACATCTATCTGATATATTTTGCTTTTAGGCTGAGTGAGTGTAACCTGACAGATAGAAGCTGTTCAGCTCTGACTAAAGTCCTCAGCTCAGAATCCTCTATGCTGACTGAGCTGGATCTGAGTGGGAATCCTGTACAGGACAGAGGAGTAGAGCTGCTCGCAGCTGGACTGGAGAGTGCAAACTGTAAACTGGAGAAACTGAGGTGAGTTCATCTCTCATTAAGTAGACTTCATCAGTAGTCACATTCAAATTGGCTCTAGAGTGTCAGAGTATCTCAGGAAAACCACCATGCCAACATTGGAGAGAAGAGCAGAGAAAAGCTTTAAATTTACACTATAGATTGTCCTTGGGTTGAATGAGGAGAAAGTTCCAAGTAGGATCAACCAGGGTTGGAGCTAAAGATTCAACTCACAAGATGGTGATTGGAAATCAGAAGACCTCAGCAACTCAAAGAGAAACTAGGATCTGGAGTGGGGAATATCTTAGTCCTTGTCACATGTCGTCCTTAGTGTTGATTGGTTCTCCTTCCACATAGCTGTTTGGAGTAATATTCCCATAATAATTAGTCAGTACAACACTTTATTTTGAGTGGTCTTTTTGTAGATTTAATAAACACTCAAATAACTCTCAGTAACACATGAATGATGTAGCAGCAGTGAATATATTCAATAGATTATCAAGATACTTTAATTGCATGCGTAATATTTGTTTATGATCAGAAGAATTCAGTTTTTCATTTTACTTGGAATGCCCATATTCATATCTGTAGATGTTAATCTGAGAGGAGCTGAACATTAACAGGTTTAATACAGACCATCAACATCCTCAGCAAGCTGGTATAGACATATAGATAAAGATAGGGTTAGGTTTAGGGCCAGTGTGAGGGACAGGATTAGGTTTTAGATTGAGGCTAAGGTTAGGATTAGGATTAGATTTAGGATAGGTTAGAGTTGAGGTTAGGGGTAGGGGTAGCGCCAGGTACAAGGTTAGGTTATGGGTAGGGTTGAGTAAGGTTAGGTTTCGCTTAATGAAAGTACCATATTGAGTCTACTTCATGTAACATATCAACAATATATAATACTTGCATTAAGTAGATGTAAACACTACATCTTCAAGATCTTTACCTCAATGTATTCAGATGCTGCACTGCTGCTACTTCATTGCTACTTCACTGATATGTTGTTGATGTGTTACTGATAACCTATTAAGAGTTTATTAATCATCTACAAAAGGACCACTCGAAGTGTTACCAAAAGTTGTTATCCTCAATTATCTGTACGGTGTATTCAATATGCAGAGATCTGTATTGATAAAACAATAAGAAAACAAATAAAGGAATAGCAAATTATATCATTAAAGAGACCTCTGAGGACCCTCATGGTGGGTGTAATTCTGTGAGGGTTATTTTTTGGCAGTAAGGTTTGTTCAGATTTCTTTGTCAAATCAAAGGATTTTTTCGAAAATCTATTAAATTGGTGGAAATTACAGTGTAATTTGAAAAAATACTTGAAAACTTGAGTTTAAGGTCAAATTTTAAAATAGGTGTCCATGATAATGCCTGTCAATGTCAGGTGGTGTAATCAGTTATGCTATTCATTTCCAATCATTCCAATTGTTATTGTAAAAACCCATTAAATAAGGAAATATCTTTCAAACTGTTATACTTTCATTATGATTTATGATGTGTTTGAGCACTACTGTTGTCATTCTATTTTTAAACAAAATGGCTGACATTAGATATCTATGTGTTTTATTAAAAGGACAAGTTTACTGTTTTTCACCCTGACCTTATTAAAATTGCTATTTGCATTATTTATAATTGTTCATTGCAGAAATTTACTTTAGTTTTGAGAAAAGTGTTGAGAAAAGTGCTGGTCAGTGCATCAGTTCTTGATATTTTTGATCAAGAACTGATGAGGCTATGATATTTTTAATGAAGATGATCCAGATGTTAGGAGACGTTAGAACAAAATCTTTTGTGATATGATTTTTGGATTCATGATATTTGGAAAGATTGTAGGATAAAAGGATTTTGAGATAACTAACATTTATCTGATATATTTTGCTTTTAGGCTGAGTGAGTGTAACCTGACAGATAGAAGCTGTTCAGCTCTGACTAAAGTCCTCAGCTCAGAATCCTCTATGCTGACTGAGCTGGATCTGAGTGGGAATCCTGTACAGGACAGAGGAGTAGAGCTGCTCGCAGCTGGACTGGAGAGTGCAAACTGTAAACTGGAGAAACTGAGGTGAGTTCATCTCTCATTAAGTAGACTTCATCAGTAGTCACATTCAAGTTGGCTCTAGAGTGTCAGAGTATCTCAGGAAAACCACCATGCCAACATTGGAGAGAAGAGCAGAGAAAAGCTTTAAATTTACACTATAGATTGTCCTTGGGTTGAATGAGGAGAAAGTTCCAAGTAGGATCAACCAGGGTTGGAGCTAAAGATTCAACTCACAAGATGGTGATTGGAAATCAGAAGACCTCAGCAACTCAAAGAGAAACTAGGATCTGGAGTGGGGAATATCTTAGTCCTTGTCACATGTCGTCCTTAGTGTTGATTGGTTCTCCTTCCACATAGCTGTTTGGAGTAATATTCCCATAATAATTAGTCAGTACAACACTTTATTTTGAGTGGTCTTTTTGTAGATTTAATAAACACTCAAATGACTCTCAGTAACACATGAATGATGTAGCAGCAGTGAATATATTCAATAGATTATCAAGATACTTTAATTGCATGCGTAATATTTGTTTATGATCGGAAGAATTCAGTTTTTCATTTTACTTGGAATGCCCATATTCATATCTGTAGATGTTAATCTGAGAGGAACTGAACATTAACAGGTTTAATACAGACCATCAACATCCTCAGCAAGCTGGTATAGACACACTGACAACATCCTGTAGCTGAAGCGTAACTGGACTAGGTTTTGGTTAAAGATAGGGTTAGGTTTAGGGCCAGTGTGAGGGACAGGATTAGGTTTTAGATTGAGGCTAAGGTTAGGATTAGGATTAGATTTAGGATAGGTTAGAGTTAAGGTTAGGGGTAGGGGTAGCGCCAGGTACAAGGTTAGGTTATGGGTAGGGTGGAGTAAGGTTAGGTTTCGCTTAATGAAAGTACCATATTGAGTCTACTTCATGTAACATATCAACAATATATATTACTTGCATTAAGTAGATGTAAACACTACATCTTCAAGATCTTTACCTCAATGTATTCAGATGCTGCACTGCTGCTACTTCATTGCTACTTCACTGATATGTTGTTGATGTGTTACTGATAACCTATTAAGAGTTTATTAATCATCTACAAAAAGACCACTCGAAGTGTTACCAAAAGTTGTTATCCTCAATTATCTGTACGGTGTATTCAATATGCAGAGATCTGTATTGATAAAACAATAAGAAAACAAATAAAGGAATAGCAAATTATATCATTAAAGAGACCTCTGAGGACCCTCATGGTGGGTGTAATTCTGTGAGGGTTATTTTTTGGCAGTAAGGTTTGTTCAGATTTCTTTGTCAAATCAAAGGATTTTTTCGAAAATCTATTAAATTGGTGGAAATTACAGTGTAATTTGAAAAAATACTTGAAAACTTGAGTTTAAGGTCAAATTTTAAAATAGGTGTCCATGATAATGCCTGTCAATGTCAGGTGGTGTAATCAGTTATGCTATTCATTTCCAATCATTCCAATTGTTATTGTAAAAACCCATTAAATAAGGAAATATCTTTCAAACTGTTATACTTTCATTATGATTTATGATGTGTTTGAGCACTACTGTTGTCATTCTATTTTTAAACAAAATGGCTGATATTAGATATCTATGTGTTTTATTAAAAGGACAAGTTTACTGTTTTTCACCCTGACCTTATTAAAATTGCTATTTACATTATTTATAATTGTTCATTGCAGAAATTTACTTTAGTTTTGAGAAAAGTGTTGAGAAAAGTGCTGGTCAGTGCATCAGTTCTTGATATTTTTGATCAAGAACTGATGCGGCTATGATATTTTTAATGAAGATGATCCAGATGTTAGGAGACGTTAGAACAAAATCTTTTCTGATATGATTTTTGGATTCATGATATTTGGAAAGATTGTAGGATAAATGGATTTTGAGATAACTAACATCTATCTGATATATTCTAAATTTAAATTTAATACTTTGTATATTTTTCTTATAATCTTTGTACATATACATATATATCTTTATACTTTTATTGTTTATTCTATTTAAATATTGTTTGTATATTTCCTGCTGCTCTGTCTTCTGTGCTGCTGTAACACCGCAAATTTCCCCGTTGTGGGATTAATAAAGGATTATCTTATCTTATCTCTTATTTTGCTTTTAGGCTGAGTGAGTGTAACCTGACAGATAGAAGCTGTTCAGCTCTGACTAAAGTCCTCAGCTCAGAATCCTCTATGCTGACTGAGCTGGATCTGAGTGGGAATCCTGTACAGGACAGAGGAGTAGAGCTGCTCTCAGCTGGACTGGAGAGTGCAAACTGTAAACTGGAGAAACTGAGGTGAGTTCATCTCTCATTAAGTAGACTTCATCAGTAGTCACATTCAAAGTTGGCTCTAGAGTGTCAGAGTATCTCAGGAAAACCACCATGCCAACATTGGAGAGAAGAGCAGAGAAAAGCTTTAAATTTACACTATAGATTGTCCTTGGGTTGAATGAGGAGAAAGTTCCAAGTAGGATCAACCAGGGTTGGAGCTAAAGATTCAACTCACAAGATGGTGATTGGAAATCAGAAGACCTCAGCAACTCAAAGAGAAACTAGGATCTGGAGTGGGGAATATCTTAGTCCTTGTCACATGTCGTCCTTAGTGTTGATTGGTTCTCCTTCCACATAGCTGTTTGGAGTAATATTCCCATAATAATTAGTCAGTACAACACTTTATTTTGAGTGGTCTTTTTGTAGATTTAATAAACACTCAAATGACTCTCAGTAACACATGAATGATGTAGCAGCAGTGAATATATTCAATAGATTATCAAGATACTTTAATTGCATGCGTAATATTTGTTTATGATCGGAAGAATTCAGTTTTTCATTTTACTTGGAATGCCCATATTCATATCTGTAGATGTTAATCTGAGAGGAACTGAACATTAACAGGTTTAATACAGACCATCAACATCCTCAGCAAGCTGGTATAGACACACTGACAACATCCTGTAGCTGAAGCGTAACTGGACTAGGTTTTGGTTAAAGATAGGGTTAGGTTTAGGGCCAGTGTGAGGGACAGGATTAGGTTTTAGATTGAGGCTAAGGTTAGGATTAGGATTAGATTTAGGATAGGTTAGAGTTAAGATTAGGGGTAGGGGTAGTGCCAGGTACTAGGTTAGGTTTCGCTTAATGAAAGTACCATATTGAGTCTACTTCATGTAACATATCAACAATATATATTACTTGCATTAAGTAGATGTAAACACTACATCTTCAAGATCTTTACCTCAATGTATTCAGATGCTGCACTGCTGCTACTTCATTGCTACTTCACTGATATGTTGTTGATGTGTTACTGATAACCTATTAAGAGTTTATTAATCATCTACAAAAGGACCACTCGAAGTGTTACCAATATATTAACAGGAAAAAAGACCAGATTAGACCAGATTATTAAAATTAAACTTTATATATTGTGTATTATATACTCTGTATTTGTTTATTGTGTTCATTATTAGGTCATTCACAAACTTGTGGTATATTGTCTTGTGTTTTGCTAAAAGGTAATACATTTTTGTTCTCTCCATAGGCTTTCATTCTGCAGCATAACAGAGGAAGGATACGCTGCTCTGGCTTCAGCTCTGAAATCAAACCCCTCATCACACCTGATAGAGCTGGATCTCAGAGGGAATGATCCTGGAGATACAGGAGTGAAGATGCTCACAGATCTACTAGAGGATCCAAACTGTAAACTCAGGACAATAAGGTAAACAGTTTCTACGTCATAGCTTCCCAGTCAACCTAGCAAAAAAACAAGTGTATATGATGAACATGTAAATGTTGATCTTTTTCAACCATTGCTTTCCTTTAATAAATGATATTTGGGTCTTTTTTATTTATTATGTGTAGTTTTGTTGAAAGTGTAAGTTTTCAAAGGAAAAATCATATGAGGTGTAAATTTATATAGAAATTTAGAATACCAGAGAAGTGTGAGGTATAGTCAATGTAAAATTGTGAAAAAATGTGATTTTCTTTCTTCAGACTGTTGAAAAGTCCTGCTGCAGAAGATGTCTGTGATTTTCTGACTACAGTTCTAGGAATAAGCCCCTTACTGCTGAGAGAGCTGGATCTGAGTGGGAAAATACAAGGAGATTCAGAACTGATGAAGATATCTGACCTACTGGAGGATTCACACTGCAGAACTCACAAACTGAAGTGTGTAATGTAATTTATTATTGCACTTGGCATTGTTATTATTGTTGTTATTTTCTTAGGCACGTGATGATTAAAGAAACTTACGTCTGTCACCTACACAAGGTGACAAGATTCAGATGACTTTTACGTACATTTTTAAAGGATAACGAATAAAGAAATGGTTAAAGCATGCTTTACTCAAATGTCTTTTAAAATCTACACACAGGTTTTTGTTTCACAAAAAAGAAAAATCTCATTAACCTTTTCTCCACAATTCCTCTCTGTCTACAGGCTGAGTAAGTGCAGTATTACAGAGGAAGGCTGTGCTGCTCTGTCATCAGCTCTTTGTTCAAGTCCTTCACGCCTGATAGAGCTGGATCTGAGTGAGAATAAACTAGGAAACTCTGGAGTGAAGCACATCTGTTTTCTACTGGCAAATCAGTGCTGTAAACTGCAGAAACTGAAGTGAGACCTAGTTGTTCCACTTAATTTCTAAAAACTAAAACTTAATATATGAACACATTTGTAAAATGAGATCATCTAGTAAAGGGATCACATATGCAATGAAAAAAAGCAAAAAAAAAAAGAAAGAAAATATGCCTTTTAAACCATAAGCTTCTTCCATCATGTTTTTTTTAAATGCAGATAACATCTTCTCTTTACAGTCTTTCTTTCTGCAGTATAACAGAGGAAGGATATGCCGCTCTGGCTTCAGCTCTGAAATCAAACCCCTCATCATCCCTGATAGTGGTGGATCTCAGAGGGAATGATCCTGGAAATACAAGATTGAAGACGCTTACTGATTCACAAAATTATCCACGCCGTAAACAGAAGGTAAATTATTTCTACACCACAGGTGTCCAGTTAACCTACCTAACATTATGAGCCATAAATGTTTTATATTTTATAAAAAAAGTAATTAATTTAAATCCTCCATTAATACCTAATATTCGGGTATTCTTATTTATGTCTTTAAATTGTAATGATGTAATGATAAAGACACTGTTACATACATACTGTTTAAAAGAAATGTTTATTCCTGTCAGTATGCACCTTTTTAAAGCACTTAATACTTAAAAATCAAATAAAAAATTACAGGCAGCCGCAGAGGCTCACAATTGCTGAAGTTAGCAGCTCACTAACATTCATGCACACAACCAATAAAGTCTCACCAGAGCATCTGGGAGGGGTCCTGTGTCACATCAAGTCAGCACACATCAATTAAAGATTTGTCTATTATCATTTCTCTGTATAATTTTTGTACAGTAAAATGAACTGCACAAGACCGAACAAGGCTAAATGCTGTGGTTAGCCACAGAACTAGCAAAGCAGGAAGTAAGCCTAAATCCTTTGGATTTTCACTGATGGTAAACAGAAACAAACACTAAATAACAGATAACATATTCATTTTTAAACAATGAACACTTTTTCATGCAAAGAAAGGCATTAAAGAATAACAGGCAAACATAGGAGCTCCCTTTTATGCATATTAGCAGCTCGCTAACATACAGGCTCAGGAACGCTACAATACATGTAGGGACTACTGAGTACATGTTAAAATGTGTTATATATGCAAATGCTACTGTAAATCTGTTCATTAACCCAAAAGTAGCATCTGAAATTTATTCAGTATTGCATTACATTAAAATACATGAAAAGAAACATATTCAGAAAGTAAAACATAAACATTGAAATTAGTCACTCTAAATACACTTGTATTAACTGGTTACTGTAGAATACTGCATACTTACACACAGTAAAGTATAATACAATGTCTCACAATATTAAAATTGTTTTCCTTTTTTCCTCTCAGTGTGGATGGCTGGTTTAAAAAGTCTTTATATAAGGAATATCAGATGACAAGTCAGAAACAGCAGCAGAGGATCTGGATGGACAGTCACCATGTCAAACAGAGTGGGTCTCTGCTGTCTGGCTGGAGTCCACATAAATGTAATGTGCTAAATGGATGAGAAACAGCTGTTCCAACATCAGGAATGAATAGCATGGTCATGTTATTTACCTTTAGCACAGTACCAGTCAAAAGTCTATGTATTTGTTTTTGAATCAGGCTTTGATCCTTTTCTGTTTAAACTGAAATTTTGGGCACCCCAGTCAAATTCCATGTCATGTTGATTTTTTGAGCAAGTCAAAAAACTTCTATAGAGAACAAACTTTGGCACATTTTAATCACAATTATTGTTCATTTACTGAATAAAAAAAAAACACTAAATGTGATCTTTGCAAATGTTATGGCACATTTTCTTTTATAGTGTTTATTTTGTCGAAATTTATGATTTTTTTTTTAAGTCGAAAATTCACATGGGCTATATTTCAGTTTGTCCTGCCTTTCAACATGTAGTTTAAGCTAGTGATAGCTCTTCCAAACACTTAATATCCATACTCAAATGTTGGCTACACAACTTTTGGATCATTTATGGCTGCTAATGCACAGATATACTAAATCTGAAGGTCAAAGATGTTTTACTTTATCTATTGTATGAAAACAGAATAATAACTGGTAAATGCTTTCTGCTTCTTCATTGTGCTGCTTGTGAGTGATGCTGCGTCTGAATGAAGAAGCATTGTGGAGTCATTCTGTCTGTGTCACCCCTGGTTTAAAACAGCTATTATACTTTTAAAAAAGCATTAGTAGAACATTTGAAAAATCTCCCAAGTACAAACATGAACAAAAATTGAGATTCATTGAAAAGGTCATTGGTTAACTATCTCTTTAGACTGTGAATGAGAATATTGTCTATTTTGATATTTAAAAAAAGATTTATGGGATTTTTCCTAAAAAGAACCCTAACTTGAGCCCAAAGTAGTGCCTAGCATGTATTTCCAATGGTATTTGCCAGCTTTAATTTTTACATTTCAGTGTTTAATGCCGAATTCTTGTAGTAAGCTTTGTAAGTAGCCTTTGTTTTCAACTTATTACCACCTCTAGCATATTGTTTTTCCACTAGCACCACTGTGGATTTGTAGTATCATATCAAGGTAGTGATACTGTATATTTACAATTTACTGCAACTCTAATTTAAAGATGGACATTTCAGTTTTATAACATTCACGTGTCATTCTTTTACTTCTATACTCTGAATATCCAGAGATATTTTCAGTAAAGACTTGAACAGAAAGGCTGTATCTGTGTATTGTTGGAGGAGCCTGTTAGCCTACGGTGACCACCTGTCTCACATTTGACAGGAAAGTCCTAAAATTCAGAGATTGTTTTTAATAAAATTGCTTAAAGTGTTAAATTGGGTAAACTAAAGAATACTCTCAAGAAATGAGAATAATAGCCTTTTTAAATAACAGCATAAAGGTTGAGAATGTTCAAAAATATATTGCAGTAACAATCTTTGTGGTTGCATCTTGATGCAAAGCTGTGGACACACTTCTGTACATTTTCTGCTGTCTAAATACATTTTTGTGAAATCACCACACAATTTGTTAATTAGTGTAGAAAAGATGATGGTCTTCAAATGGACTAAAGAAAATTGTATGTTTTAGTATTAAGCCAAGCTTATAAACAGACAAACCCATTTTTTTGTTTCTTGTGTTGTCTTTGTGTTTGTTAATCATACATGGTTAATTCCTAGTTTTGTTTTACACATGACGTTTTCACGGAAAAAAAAAACGAGTTTTTTCATACATTTTCCCATATGTTTGTCTTGATATTAATAAATCTACTCAAATTCCTCAATCTTCTGTCTTAAGAATGGGAATTTAGATAATTACAGCTATTTATAAATCCAACAGTATGATCACATTATTAATTACAAAATTACAACCGTTTCTCATTAGGCTGAATGAATACCCGGCTCTAAATGTAGGTATTGTGATATAAACTGAGTCTGTTCTACAGTTTCTCATTAGGCTGAATGAATACCCGGCTCTAAATGTAGGTATTGTGATATAAACCGAGTCCGTTCTACGGTTTCCCGTTAGGTTGAATGAATAACCGACTCTAAATGTAGGTATTGTGATATAAACCGAGTCCATTCTACGGTTTCTCGTTAGGCTGAATGAATAACCGACTCTAAATGTAGGTATTGTGATATAAACCGAGTCCGTTCTGCGGTTTCTCGTTAGGCTGAATGAATAACCGACTCTAAATGTAGGTATTGTGATATAAACCGAGTCCGTTCTACGGTTTCTCTTTAGGCTGAATGAATAACCGACTCTAAATGTAGGTATTGTGATATAAACCGAGTCCGTTCTACGGTTTCTCTTTAGGCTGAATGAATAACCGACTCTACATGTAGGTATTGTGATATAAACTGAGTCTGTTCTACAGTTTCTCACTAGGCTGAATGAATAACTGACTCTAAAAATTCGCTAATAGCATGCTGTTTCGGTAGCTAGCTAGCTAACTTCCTGTTCCACCTTAAATAGTTTAGCAGTGTTGACGTCTGAAGTGCCAGAATGTAACTGCTACACCATTTAAGGTGGATTGGGAAAAATCAAACAGGAAGCTGGTGAATATCTGACTTCAGCTTCGTATCACCAAAGAATTAGCGGTGGGCCGTAATAAATAATTGTCTTAAACCCCCTCTGTGAAGGCATATGATGCCCTATATGTAACTGAAGTGAGGAGCTGAACTTTACTCTCCTCTGCTGTCACTGAAGATGGGCTGGGTCGCCTACAGAGCAGTGCTAGTAGCTGTTAATGAAGCAATGTTTCGTTTTTTAATTTGAGGGTTGTCCCATTTCATAGGGCAAGATTTCAACCACTACCCCTTGTAACTCAGTTCAAAGGGGTTAGGGTGACACTCGTAAACAAGGGGTAGGGGTAAGAAGAAAAAATGGGACTGGGCCTAAATGTAGGTATTGTGAGATAAACTGAGTCTGTTCTATAGTATTACAGCAGCAGTATTACAGCAAAGGACACTAATAGACAGAACAAGATCATTAGACAAAAGACACTTCCTCTGTGATTCTGAGAGGAAGATCAGCTTTATGTTTTGCCTGTTTGCTCTTTGTGGAACACTTTTGTATGGCTTTGAGCTGTTTCTTGTTTAAGCCTCTTGTTTAAGTGAGTGGCAGGCTGTTGCAGCAGGTCCAGCTCACTCTGAGCTTTTTTCTTATTTTGTGTAATTTTTTCCATTTATTTTTTTAAATATCTTTACTTTGACTGTAAATATCTTAGCTTTTTATTTATTTATTTATATTGTTAATGTGAAGTATTGTTTTTGTGAAGGATAGAGTTTATATTTGTATCTTATTTTTTGAGTATTATATATATTGTCTGTATAGTAACAAGTAACAAACTGTAAAAAACCTTGTTAAGTACTTAACAAAGTTAATTACTTGCTTGTTAATTCTCTTCTTGTTACTTCTTCTCTTTGTCCCTTGCTCTCCTTTTGTTGCTGTAACACTGAGAATTTCCCCATTGTGGGACTAATAAAGCATTATCTTATCTTATTTCTCAATTCCTCTTTCCTTTTCTTTTTGTTTGAATACGCACCAGGGCTGAGCACCGTACAAGTCACCCCTCTACAAAGGTGTGACAAAGCGCTGCTGTTTGCCACAGCCTTAAGTAGAGAAGTCCAAAGGTGTGCCAGGTTGTGCCTAATCACCCCGAGGGCATCTGGGAATTGGAGTTCCCTGAACTTGTGGCGCATCGCCACCATCATCTTCTGCTGGCAGCACAGGCTGGACCCTTACAGAGATGTCAAGTTTATTGTAAACAACATCCAGGTGTCTTTCATGTGCTTGAATTATATCTGTGGTAAGAAAAAAAAAAAAAAACTTTTTACTCTCCACTTCCACAAAACATGACCTCGTCACTGGGTAGAAACGATTGTATGATTTCTCTATTTTTGGAAGGACTTTGAAACGTGTTCAGAACCTGATCCTGAATGATGCTGATGCCCTGTCCCACCACCCAAGAGCTGCTGAGGAGTGCTGCCACTGTGCCCACCTTGAAGAGAAAGTGGAGAGGAGCACCGCTGCAGCTGTCACCACTGCCACCAGTCTTGATGTGGTGAGCCCCGAGGAGTTCCTTCAGGCCTGGGAGGAAGACGCCTAACTCTCCTGGGCGTGTTGATGGCTCCAGGTGGGGTGAAAACCAGACTGGACAGATGTGATGCCATACAGTCCCACCACTAAGGCACGTGTGCCAGCTTGGACAGCCTTCAGACACATGACGAGCTGCTGTACTGTGTGTGGGAGGAACCGGTGCCCAGGAAGTGTGTGTGACTGTTGGCAGTGCTGCACAGTTTAAGACGGTGCTGAGTACATGGCACGGCTGGTGTGGGGCACTTGTGTATTTATTCATTTGTTTGTTTTGTTTGTTTTTTGCTTGTATTTTGTGTTTTTAGGGACACCAAGACTGAAAAAATGCAGTCAAGTTGCCATTCGTTGCAGGGTTGGTATATCTCAAAGAAAAAGAAGAGGATCTTTTCAGAATTTGGTGAAAAAATCGCAATGACTGTGATGTTTTATGTTACGCTCAAAGTGTGCTTTAATTGTTGTGTTTGCCTTTTCTTAAAATGCATGACAAATACAATGATATTGAAATTTTCTCTATAAAGATGCCAAAGCACAAAAGAGGAGGTCTTACAGGGGAGGTGATGAAGATCACAGTCAACAAAGGTGCCAGTGCCTCTGATTTATGCCCTCAGTCTGAGATACCCAAGACAACTGAGGCATACCTGCAAAGTTTTTCCTTCAGAGTTGCTCCATGACCTGGATGGACTGAAAGCTAGTCCAAAAGTAACACAAGCTTTTTCCTAAATGATGTGAGAAATGCAGATTTACTGTGAAATGTCAGGATTTTATAGTGAATTTGTCAAAATTCATCAAAATGAAAACTAGCAATGTTCAGAAAGTTGCTGAGTTTATTTTGTACTATGCAGGTTCCTTTACACACATTTGTGAACGAATGGGTCGCTCTCAGGAGCTCAGTGAATTCCAGCGTGGTACCGTGATAGGATGCCACCTGTGCAACAAGTCCAGTCGTGAAATTTCCTCTCTACTAAATATCCCACAGTCAACTGTCAGTGGTATTATAACAAAGTGGAAGCGATTGGGAACGACAGCGTTGAATGCAGTGGTGTAAAGCGCCGCCACTGGACTCTAGAGCAGTGTAGACGTGTTCTCTGTAGTGATGAATCACGCTTCTCCGTCTGGCAATCCGATGGATGAGTCTGGGTTTGGCGGTTGTCAGGAGAACGGTACTTGTCTGACTGCATTGTGCCAAGTGTAAAGGTTGGTGGAGGGGGGATTATGGTGTGGGGTTGTTTTTCAGGAGTTGGGCTTGGCCCCTTAGTTTCAGTCAAAGGATCTCTTAATGCTTCAGCAGACCAAGAGATTTTGGACAATTTCATGCTCCCAACTTTGTGGGAACAGTTTGGGGAGTTTGGCCCCTTCCTGGCCCCTTCCTGTTCCAACCAGTGCACAAAGCAAGGTCCATAAAGACATGGATGAGTGAGTTTGGTGTGGAAGAACCTGACTGGCCTGCACAGAGTCCTGACCTCAATCCGATAGAACACCTTTGGGATGAATTTGAGGGAAGACTGTGAGCCAGGCCTTCTCGTCCAACATCAGTGTCTCACAAATGCGCTTCAGGAAGAATGGTCAAAAATTCCCATAAACACACTCCTAAACCTTGTGGAAAGACTTCCCTGAAAAGTTGAAGCTGTTATAGCTGCAAAGGGTGGGCGACATCATATTAAACCCTATGGATTAAGAATGGGATGTCACTCAAGTTCATATGCATATGAAGGCAGACAAGCGAATACTTTTGGCAATATAGTGTAGGTGCACTTTGTAGTTCTACAGTTACAGACTGTAGTCCATCTGTTTCTCTGCATACTTTGTTAGCCCCCTTTTACCCTGTTCTTCAGTGGTCAGGACCCCGATGGACCCTCACAGAGCAGGTACTATTTGGGTGGTGGATCATGCTCAGCACTGCAGTAACACTGACGTGGTGGTGATGTGTTAGTGTGTGTTGCGCTGGTCTGAGTGGATCAGACACAGCAGTGCTGCTGGAGTTTTTAAACACCTCAGTGTCACTGCTGGACTTAGAATACTCCACCAACCAAAAATATCCAGCCAACAGTGTCCTGTGGGCAGCATCCTGTGACCACTGATGAAGGACTGGAGGATGACCAACACAAACTGTGCAGCAGCAGATGAGCTATCGTCTCTGACTTTTCATCTACAAGGTGGACTGACAAAGTAGGAGTGTCCTAGAGTAGACAGTGAGTGGACACAGTATTTAAAACCTCCAGTCATTTAGTAAGTGTAATGTTTGCACTGATGTGTAGCACTGATAAATATATCAGTGATGCTTCTATGGTTGCTTAGACGCAAATGCCACATAAGGATTGGATGTTAATGTCTATGGTATTGTAGCCAAAATGCTTCGGGGCAGCAGGTAAAAGGGGTTTTCTTTTCAATTCACAAGAGCTGCAAGTTTAATTTTTACATTATTCACAGTTGTCTTAATGTTTGAACAGAGAAATTTAACCTAACAGCGCTTGTGAACTGGCACTTTGGCACATTCAGCATTCAAGCCCAAAGAAATGAAGTGTGTTGTTGTTCTTGTCAGAACAAAATGCTTAATTCACAGAAAATCATTGCATTTGCAATATTGGTTAGAAATATCACAATTTGAAATTCACCAAGATCTTACAGCTTTAGTCAGTATTCTATCAGTCACATAAATAAACCAACAGGAGTTGCTTGCCAGGCTGAAGTTGGCTTCTTATTCAAAGCTGGGGACATGGTAACATTCTGAAGAGT